CTTTTTCCCTTGGCAACTTACAGATGGCTTAATTTCTTTTTCAAAACAAATCTATTGTTATGTTTGCAATGTGCCTTGGATGATGTGGCTAAAGGTTATAGATCATATCTCTATAATATTTATTGAACAAGATGTTTATTTATTTTTCTCCAGTGTGAAAATACTGTATCGTAACTCAAGAGAGAATAAATACTAGCTTTTGTACAGAGCGCTGTGTTATTGGTCATTTGGGAGCCCATTGGGAGGGGAGACAAAAAAGAAATGCATATGGGATTTTTGTTTGCAATGGTTTTAGTTTTATAGGGATGGTTTCGGGTGATTGGCACAAGGGGAGAGGAGTTTGGGGTCGGGCGTTTTCTGGAAAACAAAGGCCGGCTCACATTCACGACAAAAACTCGAGCGAGCGAGGCGGGGTATGAGAGAGTTTTTATTTGTCTGTCCTGGTGAAAATTTACGATCTCTCGTTTTTCCTTTCATCTCTCTCTTCCCACCTCCCACTGCATCGTCCCTCCTCCCACTTTTCTTTCTTTTCTCATCACACTATCTCACGAAGCTCCTCTTCCCCCAAAAAACATCCCTCTGACCTGTGACAGTGAGGGATTTACATGAGCACAAACAGGCACAGGTACAAACACACCCCTCATAATCCCACCAACCGCCTGGCTCTCTTGTTGTGTCTGTGTTTCAATGCCGCCGTTATCCCTGTCTCTGTCACTGCATCTGCCTCTTATCGTTTTTTGCACGTCCCTTCTCTTCTATACCGACTCTTTTATCACCTCCTCACCTGTTATCTTCTTTCTTTCTTGTTTGGCTTTATAGCTCTCGACTTCGCTTTTTTCCCACGTGCTCTGCAGTTCTCTGGCTCCCTCTCCTCGGCCCCAGGCCACATATTAAAGGATCAATGAGTATCTCCCTTCCATCACCTCCGAGGTACACACCTGCACACACCTGCACACACCCACCCTGACACACACACACATAAGCACACAAATGTGGACCATATGATGACAAACAAGTGCACACATGAACTTTAAAAAGCAACGTTAGCCGAGCAGGAACTGACTTATATGGGAGGTCGACTGTGTCAACGCTGACACATCGTCACACATGACTTTCACTAAGTGGGGGAAAAGGGTTAATGCTGACAGAGACATTACACATATGTATACACACATACACACACACAAGACAGTGTGTTTTTTACATTCAGTAAGCAATGACTGAGGGGCCGCCAGTAGTCAACAAAGGCAGCTTTGTACGGTCTCTGTGTGTGTGCGTTTATCTGTATATGTGTGTGTGCGTATTGTTTGCCGTGTGTGGGCTTGTAAGCGCAGCACGTGTGTGAATCATTATCGCTATGTGTCAGAATTTTGTTGGAATGAGGCTTGTCATGCATAGCTATCTAATAGCCATCACTCAACATTGTCTTTCTCTTTCTGTCTGTCTCTCGCTGTCAGCGAAGCAGAGACAAATTGCTGTAACTAATACGTAACAGGATAGCCAACCCAGTTTGTATGACTCAGTTGGCAAGGCCTTCGATAAGAACAGATACTGTGAAGATACTGTGAGTTACAAGGCATCGACATTATTGGCCCTGCTGCTCAGACAGGCCTGTCTGTCTGATTGTCAGGCTGTGATCTAAGACTTACAGACGAGTTGTTATGACCTACAGAGGAGTTGATGTGCCGACCATCTTGTTGAAGAACTTTTTATTTGCTCTTGGAGAGCACATCTCCACACTTCACCTCCTTTTAGTCTTACAGAAAGATTTGGGGAAATTCCTCCATGTCCCCCTATGGAGGTCCAGTGCTACACATCATGTTGAATGATAGTCGGATACTGACATCATTTCAGAATGTATAAAAAAAACCTTTTTGGACACTGCTCTGATTTCGCATTTTAAACCTATTAACCGGAGATATTTTTATTTCACTTTCTCTTACCAGTCAAAACCTGGCACCTGCGTTACTCACAATGCAGCTCCACCGCTGACTTCAATTGGTGATTTGGGACATCAATTGAGGCAATTTATGAGACTTTAAGCAGCCTCCTCTGGGGCCACAAAAGGCTTTATACAACTGTTTTTACATTTAGAACTCCCCAAGACCTGTAAACCTGTAAATTGGTGAAATTCCCCCTTTAGGACTATTTATTCTGTCCAAGAATTGTATACTAATAGTAAGAATCTGGATAACCCACTGCATAGACAGTGGAAGTTGAACCACTTTAAGGCGTGAACTGTCAAAAGATGAGCAGCTATGTTATAAAATATTAGACTCTAATAGGTCAAATATATATGAAATTGTCCAAGCATTTCGGGAGGAAACATCTAATCGTAAGCTAACTCTTTGGCATGCACAGCTCACAAACAGTTAAATCTAAAGATTATGCTTTGTAGACAGTCGAAATACATTCAACAGTCAATTGAATCCATTTTGGATTAATTCAGTAACTGTGGTGTATTGTTTTCCCAGTTGTTACAGCTCTGATTCATTCCACTTAATGGCTTCTTCTACATAGTGGTATTCAAGTACATCGCAGTAGTCCTATTAATAGCCAACCTCCATACCAAACTGACAGAAACATAACATGGTTCCTCAGAAACAAAGTTGAAACAATTAAGACTGATGTCCATAATGTAACCTATATTATCATTTATCTATATGGGAGAGTTGCTTTATACATTTTTTGAGGTTTCAACTATAATATTTCTAGCCAGTGTCTGAAATGTGCCCTCTCTGGTGAGCTTGGCCATTCCCACCATTGAGGTCAACAGTGTTTTTTGTAAGGGATTCAATGAAAGTTGTGAAATATTTTTACTACAAATAACTGCTTTGATGCTTTGATGCATACCCCAAAAACCTCTCTTACAAGTTTGGTTTCTGGACCTCTGTGTTTCTAAAACCCTGCATACAGCAATGATGGCGGGGTACTCATAAACAACTGCATAACTGCGTCTCTTATAAACATGTAGCTCCCTTAAAACTAAGACAACAGCAATGAAAATGTCCTTGTTTTATTTGAAATGGCAAAAGAATGAGGGGTTAGGGTCCTGTTGTGTTTAGGGTTTGAGTTGTGCTGAATTGGGGTACTGGCACCTTTTTTGGTCCAGTTGAGGCACTCTTTCTAGCTCTTCTGCTGCCACATTCTTCATGCTCTGATACAGAGGTGAGTGAAACACCTGTTAACACTTAAGTTGTGTGATGGCTCAAGTAAAAAAGAGAATGCTATGTTATGTAGTGAGAACGTTAAAAAGAAATCAGAATATAATATAAAGGTTAGAAAATTACCAGGGAGTTGCCTGAATGCAGTAAAAAGTACTTGTTCCCCTCCTAAAACTATAAATCACTGAGGTAAGGAGATATCAGTCAATAGGCCATACAAAAGAGAGCTCTATTGTCTATTAAAGGCCCTCTTTCTTGATGATTTTAGCATCACATGCTGATTTCTGTGTGTGTGATGTCATTATTGAAGCTGTCCAATAAGATCAATCTCCCTAGAACTTGTGTGTGCCTTTAAGATACACAGATGCACTCGTCAGGCCGTTTCTCAGACCTCCTCTTCTTCCCCGTCTGTCTTTTTCTCTCCCATTTCCTCTTTATCCTTTTTTTGGTCACACTCTGTCTCACAATATTTTTTCCATATGTCTCTCTGCCTCCCCTCACCGTGTCCATCCGTGTGCCATCCTTTTCTAACCACATGAGTCGCCATTTTGTGTCATTTTGTGTCATTTTTGCTTCATTTTCTCCCCACGTGTCCCCTTTTCCCTGCTACAATCAAACCCTTTCACGCTTTCCTCAAATTCCCTCGGCCACCCCCGCGTTCTCTCCCTCTTTTTCCATCTGTCTATCTCCTTCGCTCTTCTTCTGTCCGTATCCTCTTCCCTCTCCCTCCCTCTCTGTTCTGCTCACCTGCAGCACATAAAAATTCCTCTTTTCTTTCTCCAGAGGATTGTTCAGTCGCTTAGGGATTTACTGCATTCCTCTCTGTTTTCTCTCCCTCTTTCTCTCCATATCTGTCTCCCTGTGTTTCTCTCCATTTTGGCAGCACTACACAGCGTTTGATTTAGCCTATCTTCTCCTTTGTCTTTTTAACACATTTATATCCCTCTTTAAGCCCCTCTGTGTTTTCTTTCTCCATCCCTCCCTGTCGCTATAATAACACAAAATA